TTCTTCTTCATCGCCGCCATCATCTTCAGCATCAACTTCGTCAGCAGCATCGTCTTCGAATTCATTTTCGCCGGTATAAGTGCCCACTGCTGCCGCCGAAACAAGCACCTTTTCCTTTTTTCCCTCTTGTGTTTGTCCATGTTTTTTCTTTCTTATTCCTAATTTTACTTTCTTTCTTCTGCTTCCGTTGCTGCCGCCTGTGTGTTGTGTTGTGTTGTGTTTGTTTCACTCGTGGCGGCAATAATAATAAGGGAGAGAAAAGGAGAGAATGTGTGTTTGCAAACACTCTCAGTCTTTTCCTTTCCTTCCTTCCCTTCTGTTCGGCTCTGTTCAGTCGGTTAAATTGCCATCTGCCATTTGTTGTAGTTGTATTTGTAGTTGTAGTCACAAGAAGTTTTGTAGTAACTTTATTTGGTGTAAGTGTGGAAGCTGCACAAAGAAATAGGGGAAAGCGGAAAGCGGACTGAAAATATAAAAGAAGAGTCGGTGAAGACATTTGAATAATTCGACAGCAGTGCAAAAACTACCACCTCTCAGACTACCAAAGCGTCTGGGCGCCAACAAACAGCGAAACAATTTATGGCCCATCAAGCTGATGATGCTAATTACTAATTGTCAGCAGTGGTGAGCAAAAGCAGAAGCAGAAGAAGAAGAAGAAGAAGAAGAAGAGGGAAAGGGAGAACTTTGCCAAATTGCCGACGATGCCGCAGCCGCCGCCGCCGCCAAAAAGTAGTTAGCACGGTCGTGAATATTCTCTGTACATTCTCTGTACACAGTGTTCGCTCAGTGTCTGCCTGTCCCAGCCTGTACAATAATCATGCATTGTCTGTGCTCGCGTCGTTCTTCTGATTCGCATGGCAGCCAGCAAACGATGTTCTTTGTCTTTGCTTTCTTTCTGTCTGTTTGTGTGCCATTTGGCCCAGCAGCACAATATTTCTACTGCACACAGTTCTCAGCTGAAAATCTCAACTTTGCTGCTGAACTTCGCTTTTCTCTTGCCTTGCACAATGCAGCTCTCAGTCAGTCAGTCAGTCAGTGACAAAAGTGCATTCTGATTGTGTTTGCTTTGCATTTTGATTTGTAGTCTTCTTCTTTTTCACATTTTCACAATTTTTTCTTTTTCTCCCTTTTCTAGGCTCTCCTANAGTCAGTCAGTGACAAAAGTGCATTCTGATTGTGTTTGCTTTGCATTTTGATTTGTAGTCTTCTTCTTTTTCACATTTTCACAATTCTCTTTTTTCCCCTTTTCCTAGGCACTCCTGGTCCTGGAGACGGCCGACAGTGCTGCCGGTACAGTGCAGCAGGCGGCGGAGCAGGTCAACTTCAGCCTGAGCACGGTGCTGCATTCTGCTGAGGCAGCGTTCAACGCCTTTGTCGAACACCAGCCGGAGGTGGTCATCATTGATGCTCGGAGAAGAGGAGCAGGAGATGGAAGAGATGCTTCGACGACGACGAGAACCACGACGACGACGACAAATAATAATGGAAACAACAGCTATCAACACAATGACAGCAGTGCCAACAACCGAAGCAATGGCAACCACTTTGACCCACTGACGATATGCAAGTAAGTGTCGGGAAGCGGGGAATGGGGGGAATGGGGAATGCCAAATGAAGGAAAGAAAGGAGAATGAACAACAGCCTCGGTAGTAGTGTTGGCCTGTAGCCCAAACCTGACACCCCAATTGTCTCTGTCTCTGTCTGGCTGTGTATTCGTGTGTGCTCTGAACACACACACACACACACGCCGACTGTGCACTGAATTAATTGGAAATTAGTTGTTCAAGAGAAGAAGAAGGAGTGCTAGTAGTCAAATAGTGTTTTTCACAAGCAGTGAACAAGAGGGTGCAAGTGCAAGTGTGCGAGGGAAATGTTCTGGAACTGGAGGAAAAAAGGGTAGATGAAGGATGAGGCACTCTCTTGTTCTCTCTTAATCAGAATCTCCTTCTTCTTCTTCTCTAGCCGGGCACCAATTAGGCGTCGCTGCTGCTGCTGCTGCTGCTGCTTACATGTTATTAAGTTGCACCAGGCTGACTGAGTGAGTCACACACACAAACACACAGCTGCGAATGAATGATCGATTGGATTGGAAGTAGGAAAGGAGCAGTGCACTGTCAGAACCAGAATTTACTTTCTTTCTCTCTCATTCTCTCTTTCCCAATCTCAAAGTAATTAAACTTCTCTTGTCTGTCGGCCTGCTTGTCAAAACACAAGAAGACAAGGCACACTGCACCTTTGCTTAATTATGTCAGCACTGTTTGTTGGCAAGTGAATGAGTCACAGTCGATTCAGTCAATTCAGCCTCAATTCACCGCACACAAACACACATTCTAGTTCTAGTCTAATTGTCTGCTGTTCATTTTACTTTTTTTCGCTTGTGTGCCAATTCTCTATTTTTTCCGAATGTATTCAATAACGGGGGCAAAGAACTTTTTAGAAATTCGATTGTATTTTTTACCAAGTGCAGAGTGCCTTGAACCCCTCTCACACAGTGCGGGCAATTTTTTAATCAATGAAAACTTTCTATTCTTCTTTCTACACACAGATCGATTCGCGACTTTAAGGGCGGCGAGTTCACCTGCATTCTGGCGCTGGTCAGTCGCGAGCAGGCTGAGGGGGAGAGCGACGCCGTGTCGCTGCTGCTGCAGGGCGGCTTCAATCGGGTAAGAGATCATTTATCAGATTATTTGCTGCTTATCAGATCAGACTGATAACCAATGACATCCTTATCTTCACTTTCTAGTGTCTGGTGGGCAGCGACCGGCTATCAGCCACCGTCAACGAGCTGCTTCAAGTGCGCGAGTACGAACTCACTGTACAGCGCCGCCTGCGCGCCGCCAGCGCCCTCCTCGTGGCGGTGGAGGCCTGCAAGGACGGCGTCCTCATAACCGGCCCCCAGCACACCATTCAGTACGCCAACGGCTCCATCGAGAAGATGTTTGGCTTTCGCGTTGAAGAGCTGCTGGGCCACCAGGCGCAGGACTACTTTCAGACGGACCTGCTCAAGGCGGAGATTGACGAGCGCATCAACAACTTCAACAATGGCAAGGGCGAGTGGGAGGGGCAGATTGCACATCGGCGGAAGAGCGGCGATAGTGTGCCCATTTGGAATCGCATTCTCCCCGTCAACTATCATAATGGGTGAGTGGATTGTTGTTCTTGTTGTTATTGTTTTTTATTCTGATTCTCATTTTTGTCCTTATCATCATTCCTTATCATCGTCATCTTTTGCATAATCATCATCCTCACCACCGCCAATGACATCACAACGTAAACGTCATCATCGCCACCAATGACATCATCACCATCACAACAACAATGACAACAACAACTTTCACCTACTGAAAACAAACAAACCAACTGAATCTCACCTCTTCTTCACCAGCTCTCCCGAGTACATCATCTACGTGAAGGAGTTTCCCTTTCTCTTCATCGAGAAGCTGATGAGTCCGGAGACGTCGGGTAAGTCAGATGCTGAACTCGGGTTCTTTTCTTTTCTTTTTTATTCTGCGAAAGAGAGATGGGCGGTAATTTGTTCAGGGCAGAAGAAGCGTAATAGTTTATTGCGTTACATTAGCAGCAGCAGCAGTAACCCGTCTAGTCTAGCCTGGTCTGGTCTGGTGCACTCTTTTATCCCATTACCAGCAGCACACTAGTACTGTGTACTCTAGGCGAACTTAATGAGCGAGTGCTTAAAAATGCTCTTCGGCAGTTTAAAACCAGAGAGAGAGAGAGAGAGAGAGAGAGAGAGAGAGAGAGCAAGAGCAAATTTGTGCCCGAAATGATGGAGAGGCAGAGACGGAAAGTTTGGGAGCAGTAGAAGCAGAATAGAGGCAGAGTGGGCCAGAGTAAATTAATTTGAGCTCAAGAAAAAGAGCAAGAAAACGAGGAAGAAAATGAAATGAGATGAGATGAAGACGACGCTTCACTTGAGCCACACACACACTGAGCACTGCGCTGAAGGATGCTGCTGAAAATTGAGCTCATTCCAACTACTTTTCTCTTGCCACTCTTTTGTAATCGCCGTTTTTCTCTTCTTCTTCTTCTTTTTCTTTTTCCTCTCCCTTTTATTACCCCCTCTTCTCTTTACCCTACTCACCAGACTCCTCGCTCACTTACGGATCGCTTAGAGGCTTACGGAAGACTTCTTTTGACGTCAAATCGGAAGGTTAGTAGTAGTGTACAGTGTGGGCTGCTGTGCACTCTATTGTTGTCCCGTGCTCTTTCTCCCTCTCTTTTTCTTCCGCTGGCATTCAATTAATAACTTTGCTTTTTATTTATTGCTGCCCTTTTCCTTTCCTCCCGTTTCTTCTACCAACACAGTTCGCCGGCCGAGTTTAGCTAAATTCAATTCCGTCTCGATGATTGAAGCGCCCATAACGAGGGTAATTGGACACTGAGCAAAACAACAAAACAGCCAATTTTCTAATTCTTTCTTTCTCTTTTCACTCCATTTCATTCCGTCATTCTGGAAACATCATCATCAGGTAATCAACATCCTCATGGCGATCAAGGAGAATGGGCCCAGCTTTCTGGCGCCCACTCTGGAGAAGGCGATTGACATACTGAAGAACTCGGAGATTTTCCTCCCCCAGTTTCAGAGCTTCAAGCCCGAGGACCAGATCACCTCGGAGCTGGTGAGCAGTCTGATTAATGTAAGTGAAATGTTTGTGTGTGTTTGGAAGAGTTTTTCGTTTTAATCGTGATGATTTTTACCTCCCATTTCAGTCCAGCAAACAGTCGGGAGTTCGGCGAATGTCCCACGAGGCGGCGTCCAACAAGAGCAGCCTCTCACTGCAGGCAAACAGCAACAGTGCTCCAACTGCGCTGCAACCTCCTCCGTCACCCTCCATCACCGCCAACTCTGCTGGCAACTCCTCCTCATCATCAACCACCTCCGCTTCGCAGTCGGTGACCACCACGGCCACCGCCAATCTCCTTCCGCTGAACTCCATTGCCACCACAAGTTCTACTGGTCAGCCTAGCCTGTCAAATGTTCCCTCAGCCGTACAGGCTCTCCTCGAGCACCAGCTCGACTGGAACTTCAACGTCATTGAGCTGGAGCGGGTGACCAGCAAGCGGCCGCTCACCTGGCTGGGCATGTCCATCCTCCGCCACTTTAACGTCCCCTCGACGCTTCAGTGCTCCGAAACGGTGATTCGAAACTGGCTGGCGGTCATTGAGGCAAACTACCACGACAATCCCTACCACAACTCAACGCACGCCGCCGATGTGATGCAGGCGACGGCCTTCTTTCTGCGCTCAAAGCGGATCGCCGCCGCCCTCGACCCGATGGACCAGGCGATCAGCCTGATTGCCGCCATCATCCACGACATTGACCACCCCGGGCGGAATAGCGCCTTTCTCTGCAACTCCAGCCACCAGTTGGCCATTCTCTACAATGATATGTGAGTTTTAAGGTTTTTTTGGGAGTTTCTTTATTTTTAAACTTTTTTTTTNCTGATTGCCGCCATCATCCACGACATTGACCACCCCGGGCGGAATAGCGCCTTTCTCTGCAACTCCAGCCACCAGTTGGCCATTCTCTACAATGATATGTGAGTGAAGGATATTTTTGAGAGTTTTCACCTTTTTAAAACTTTTTCTATTTTTGTTGCTAGATCTGTCCTGGAGAGCCACCACGCGGCTCGAGGCTTTTCGCTGACGGTGGGCGGCGATGGGCTGAAATCGAATCCGGAGCACTCGGTGAACATCTTTGCCGCCCTCGGCCCGGAGCTGTACCGCGATGTACGGCAGTCGGTGATCGACATGGTCCTCGCCACCGACATGACCAAGCACTTTGAGCACCTGGCAAAGTTTATTCAGAACTTTAATGCTGTCGGCGGTGCTGCGGGAATTAGTGGTGCTCTGGCGGATGACTGCGAGACGCTTCTGGAGCTGGAGAACACTGAATCGGAGGCCGACTCGCAGGACACTTTGGGAGGAGGGGCTGGTGCAGCAGCAGCAGAAGGTGCCAATGCCGGCGACCTGACGCCGGAGAACATTGTGCTGATAAAGCGAATGCTGATCAAGTGCGCCGACGTCTCCAATCCGGCGCGGCCGCTGAAGCTCTGTCAGACGTGGGCGGAGCGCATCTCCACGGAGTACTGCGATCAGGTATGGAGAAGGAGGAAGAGGATTGACAAGTTTTGAGATTTATGTGTACAAACTTCTTTTTTTTGTTGTTTTCAGACGGACGAGGAGAAGCGCCTGGGGCTGAAGGTGGTGATGCCCACCTTTGACCGGGCCACCTGCTCCATACCGAAGAGTCAGATTGGCTTCATTGACTACTTTGCGAATGACCTCTTTGAGGCGTGGCACTGTGAGTGTTTTTACTGACTTTTACCAACTGTTTTGAAATTGAGACTTACACCACCACCATTTTTCCACCCTTTAGCCTTTGGCGACTTTCCCGAGACCGTAGACAACATGAACCTGAACTACCAGTATTGGAAGGACCAGCAGGCGCTGCTGGAGCGGAAGGCGAAGAAGCTGTCGCTGGAGAGCACCAAGGTGAGCGAGGCGGACGAGGATGAAGAGGCAGCGGAAGCGGAAGAGGCGGATAAAGAGATCTTTGCCGAGGAGGACGAAGGCAGCAGCAGCGTCTCTGCAAAGCTTTGAGAAAACTCTTTCACCTGTTTGAACTTCTACACTTGCACAAATACTCTCGCTCACTCACCCACTCACTTCGCTGTCGTGCCAACTCCCATCCAAACTCCCATCACCACCACCACCACCAAATCAGTTCATCACCTCCATCACCTCCTTCACCACCACTCGTCTAGTCTCGTCTGCCCGTCATCTGTCGAATGTAGGAAATGAAGAACACCGAAGTAGCATGAGTAGGGGGAGGAGATCCTTAATTTAACCTTCTTCAAGCTTTGAACATCTTTATCATCAACTACTTTTTCTTCTTCTCCTCCTTCTCTTCTTCAACTTCTTCTTCTTCAGTCTTCAGTCCTTCTTCGGGCATCGACCGAGTTACCTCAACACAAACACACACACACATCCCCTTCTTTCCTTAATTTATTCCAATTCCCCCTCTCTCTTTTTCCCATTTGCTTTTGTTAATCTTTACCTCCCTTTGTTTACCTCTATCTCCTTTTTATCACCGCTCTCTCTCTCTATCTATTGTTTTTCTTGTTCTGTTCTGCTCTCTTGAAAT